GGGGGTGTGACACCCCCCCAGTTTTAGTGAGGTAGTCGGTAAAATGCGAAGTTATTCGGTAATGGCAAGAGCCATGACAGCTACGCAAAAGAATTAAAGATTATATTTATATATTTGTTATTGACACGCGGTGCTCATAAAATGTTTCGCCAATTTTTCAAGTCTGTTCATTACAATAAACAACAAGATAAATGCCATTGGGTAAAATGACTTATCGCGAAGTAACAAAAACAACAATTATTCCAATTAATAAAGCGTTTGCTACGTTTCTGGTTCTACGTTATTTCTAGACGGCTGACTAAAATCACGGTAAGTGTCATTAAATTAAACGTGCGCCGAAATATTTATTTGTCAATTGCTGTATAGCTGTTATGGTATATGTTATATGTAGCGTATAAGGGGCGGTCACAGATTCTAATAAAACCTCACGGTGAGCTCACACTCTCACAGCTTGTTAATATCTGACGGATTTCGAAAATAACACAACTTCAACAATATGGTTTTGTTTGATATAAATAAAAGCTACCAAACCTTGTGTGTATAAGGTACAGAAGGCTCTGAAAATGCCATTTCCAACGATCTAGAGACTCCATATTTTCAAAAATTTTCCGCTCGGCGCCAACCATGGTGGCGCCTCGTGGCGCGTGGGTCGGTAAAACTTAGATGTTACACCCCCCAGTTAAAAAGGTCATGCTACGCCCCTGGATACAGAGAAAAAAATTTGGGCCTGACCAGTCAGTCAGGCCATTAAATGGAAAGCACCCTAGGAGTCTTCAAGAAACCGTGAAGGGGCTTTCATTTAAAAGACCCCTAGTCAATATGCTAAGTAGCTATACAGTTCAGTCTGTCAAAAAGGAAAGACTATTTACATAAAATTTCATAATATAATATCTATTTAGATTTGTTGATGCAAGTTAGAGTAAGTTTTCTATTTTAACATGTATCTGTATAAAGATGAGATATAGCAATACGAATTTTTACTAGATTTCTATCTTAAAATCTCTACTTTAAGTTAAATATTTATATGATAGGTTTTGGCTTTTTTCTTGAAAGTATAATGGCAAGCAAGACCTTTAATATCCAATTGTAATTCATTTCAAATATCAATTCCTTTACTAAAGATGATATGCTTGTGATAATTTGTTCTCTGAAAAGCTTTCTGTAATTTCTTTGAATTTCATGTATTATGCTTATGTACTGTTTGTCATGAAACAGTTTTAAAATGCATTTGGTAAGTCTTTACTGCAGTTGCAGCAGCACATGAATAAACTGGTTAGATAATCATTGACTTTAAAAATATTCAAGATTTTTAGATTATGGAATAATTAGGAAATTAAACGAGACTTACCTGGAAATTTGATTGGAATTCTATCGAGTCACCAGTTTACCTAGGGATCACATGAGATTGCCAAGTGCATGCGCATATCAGTCTTCAAAGCCGACAATAGTGGAGTCTACCAAATGGTGGAGTCTACTAAATGACAATAGTGGAGTCTACCAAATTGTACACCTGGAAAACTTGAAACAAGTAATCCTATGACATGTACTAATTCTCTAATAGTAAAGACAGAAGCACCAAAAAACTCATACAAGATGATTTAACATGTTCTGCCTTAGAGACTGGAAGTCGAATAGTCATATCAATACTGTTAATCACAAACCCCAAAATCTCCAATTCCTGAGTGGGTATAAGCATTGATTTCAGGGGATGAACTACAAACCCCAGCTTGGTAAAAGTATCAACAGTATCATTAACATTCTGGTGACAAGCACTGTGAGTATACCCAACTAGAAAACTATCATCAATATGGCCCATACTAATATGCCCTATAGAATGTAAATAAGAGTATATAGGCTTAAGAATTTCCGTAAACAATCTTGGAGCACAAGCCATCCATTGGGCAGACATGTACACGGTGTATCAAAATAAACGCAATTCATCTTTTATGCTTAATAACTTTCGAAATACTATTTCTAGTTAAACGCTTTTAGGCTTACATCAAAGCCTGTTCTTTTCTCTTTCAAACAAACTATTATCCTTGTCTCCAATGCTAGTAATAATTGCACAGGAAAAGATTTAGTAAAACCTATCATTTTTAGTTGCTATTTAATTATGCAAGTTTACTATGTTATTGTTTAGTCGGTTTAAATGTTAGAATTTTCTTCTTTAAAATTTAATGTTGTCGTCACTACATCTGGAAAACCACGTAAGAACAAATTAAAAGTATTTTAAAAGAGACCAGGTTGTTTGAAAATCCTAAACGAATGCTAAAAATCATCAAAACATTCTGGTGTCTGAGCCCGAGTGTCATCGAATTGCGATGTAATGTAAACAGCAATTATAGCAAGTTGATGTCAGTCAGCTTAGATGGTCCAAGCCAAAATTATATCGCATTTGAAGTTTCAAACTGAGTTAAAATTATACTTATTGTTACAATCCATTTAATAAAATGCAACATTTTTTTGTTTTAATGAAAAAATCAGTTATTTTCATGAGAACGATTTGTTATGCCATCTCAATTTTTTTAATCTCCAATCGCAACAACGTAAAGTATTATTACCCGCGAACCAATGAGTCAAATTTAAGAAACAACCCACTGTTAGAAAGCTGAATAGCCTGGCTACGCTTTAAAATGAATGTAAACTTTAACGTTTTCGTCTATTATTTGTTTAGCAATTTAAATTTCAGTCGAGGATTGCGCTTTTTTTTATACACCCTGTATATTGATAATACTGCCCCTCCCATTTAAACATCAGAAAGTGCCTATGTTCAAAGGCAATGGCCACAGAATAATAAGCGTCCTTTAAATCTACAGATGCCATGAAACATTGAGAATGCACCAGCCTTAGGGCAGTTTGGATATTATCCATTTTAAATGTTGGTAAACAACTAATTCATTTAATTGCTGCAGATTCAAAATCATCCAATAACTTCCATCTTTTTTTAGGTGTAGCAAACACATTAGATACAAACCCTGAGTCAGGGTTACATGCCATCTCAATCACTCCCTTAAGCAGCAACTTGGATATTTCCTGCCTAATAATCTCTCTTTCAGTGGTTGAGCAATTGATTTGTCTTGGTTCATGGACCTGAGATATAAACTCAATGTGATAATGCTTTATTGCATCAAGGATAATGGAGTCGGAAGTCATTGCCTCCCAAGCAGGCAAGTAGTTTTTTAGTTGCCCAGCAAAAAACAAATTGGCATTACTATTTACAACAGGTTTGCAGCTACAATCAAATTTACTCACCTCACTATATGCTGTGGTTAATGAAATTTGTTGTTTGTTCCTCGATTCTTTGTCCGAAAAGAGGTTTTGGTTGCTGACCGGCCCCAGCCTAAAAAAGGCTGTCGTCCTGCTGGTTTGGTACTGCGACTTTGTTCTCGATCATATGGCCGAAAACGTCTGTACCGCCCTCTGAGGGACTGTGCAGAACCCCTGTTGTCTTGGGAATGTTTCTGCATCTGTTCACCAACCCTTGTGGCCTCTGACATATCTTTCATATGTTTGGGAAGATCATCTCCAAACAATTTTAAAGTAGGTTTGATCTCTTCTCAATGACACAAGCGAGTAAATGGGGGGTTGAGGTTGGGTTTGATCAGTTCCCGCCTTTTCATATTAAGTTTCCAGTTAGCATTACCAAGTAATGCAACACATCCATGACATGATCGAGCACATCATGTGTATCTGGCATGTCGCCATTTGTGATGCTTGTCATTAGACTGCCAACCAATTAAAGCAGCTGTTCCTTGTAACATGGTTGCTTGGACTGCCTGGAAGGCCAGATCCACTGACCTACTTTTTCTCGGCAGCAGATCCCAAACTTCTTTGTTCACCATAGTCACGGACAAGTTTTCACAGTTTTCTGGAGGTGGATGCTTCTCCACTTGACCATTTCGGCCAATAAACCCCCAACAAGTATATTATTAATGAGTTCAGCAATCTGGCCCTCAATTGGGGGTGATGTTGCTTTCTGTGGTGTAAAGGCCTGGGTCAGGCTATCCACCACAGGGCTCTGTGGCCCTGAGTCAGGGCGTAACACAGAACTGTCATTGTTTGCTGTGTCACCCAATTCCGCTCGTTGAGCAAGCGCACGGTCGAGCGTGGATTCCACATCAAGCATATTTCCATCCCTGGATTCCGTAATTTCTGCATTGCCGTCGCTGCCATTGTCGTCAAAACGCAAAAGAAGATCATCCTGTATGTTTTGGAATGTAGAAGTCTGAGTTGTTAGCCAGCTTTTCCAATGAATTTCCGAAGCGTTGCAAGATTCCCGCCATTTCCGCTTCATCGATCTTGCGTGTTTCACTCTGATTTTCATTGCCAACCATCAGCAGTGGATGGATTTCCATGTTCTCATCCATCTCCCAAGGGGTTGTTTGCAATCTGGATCAAATATTCCCCCAATAGAATCGCTTATTAGTGCACTTTTAACACTTTTTTATCGCTGAAATTAATAACCTCGACTGATTTGATATTGCATACAAAAAGCACTGATATGCACATGCACTTGGCAATCTCATGGGATCCCTGTGGGAACTGGTGACGAGATAGAATGGCTCTGTGTGATCAAAGTACGACTTGAAACTAATTAATCGAATAATCTTTTTATGCAAATTACTGTCATTTACAATTGAGCATGCACTGTGCATTTTTCAAGTTGTTTTAGCATGAAATTAACATGTAACTATGGGCGGAGGGACATGTTAGGCCACTATTTGTTGTATATTAGTTTCTCATCCCCGCCCGCATGCTTTTTAAGAAAATGGTCTTGTTCGCCATTATTGCCATTATTTCCATTTTTGACCATTATTATAAATTTTGTGATGTCTTCAAAGTGAAATTTGGAAGAAAAACAATTAAAAACGCCCCCAAACCAAATGTTTATATAGTTAAAATACGAAATTTCATACCCAAAGTGCCAGTTCTTCTCGCATTTATACGTACACGCTTATTTAATAAATATCCAAACTCTGAAAGCTATAAAAACTCTACCGGAAGTAGTGACTGGAAGCCAGCGGAGAAAAACGCGGGACGACCTGGGTACAAAATTATTTTACATGTGGAGCGGCCATGTTATAAAAACAGCTTTCAGTTGCACTTTAATATTGGTTTTGTGCTGTTTTACAATGCTGAACTACAGCGTGTATTGCAAAACAGCACAACGATTTCTTGTTCAGTGGAACATTGGGCTAGCAGAACCTTCGGATGTAACTTTTCGCAGGTTTTTCTCGACGAACGTTTTCCCGCGAATACCAGTGCCAAACCGGGAGCTCGATCAGACTTATGTCGGGAAAAGTAAAGAAAAACTTGATCCTGTCAACTCTGATATGCGTATAGCAGATGTAACTTCGTTGTTTGGACCATATGTGAAATTTGTGACGGAGGAAATAGGTGGTGGCGTTGAACCAGTGGCAGGTATAAATGTTTTATACTTTTAATATATTTATATTTAATAATTTTTTATTAAACAGTACTATAGTTTTTTAATAGTACTATAAGTATAAATGTGTATTTTGTATATTTACTTAATAGTTTATAGAGTGTCTTTTTGGCTAAATTTTTATTAGATTGCACCCCCCCCCCCCCTCTGAATTTTTGCCCCAAAATCAAATATAAGATATTAATGAAAGTATATTTCTATATCCAGGTCCAAATGCTTTCCATATGCTCATGAATAGTGCTAGATCCTTACAGGCACTTTCACTACCTACTCGAATCTCACATGTTACAAACCAGAAGCAAAAACTTCACAATGATGTTATTGAATTTTTCGAAAGATGACAACTGTAATGGAAACAAAGTGATGTAGCTGGCGTGGGAAATTCTTTTTTGAAAGTGATAGTTGATACACTGTGGTTCTTGGATGGTCATCACCATGTTTTATGCAAAAGAAGTCACAAAATTCCTGAATCGTTAAAGCATTTTACCGGGTATAACACCCCAGAAGTTTCCAAGCACAGAAAGCAAAACCTGCAAAATCTGTCTGAAATTACGCTTCGCGAGTTCTCCAATCGTCTATTTACACGCTTGCAAGATACCTTCTGGGAAGGAAGTGGTTGGAAAGATTTCAAATCAGATATAAAGTCTCTCGCTACCTCAATGTCCGATTATGCTAATTACTCAAAGGAACAAGAAAACAAAACAAAAACATTTCCAGTCCTTAACAGAACCTGTGCGTTCAATTGCTGATAACCTAGATTTCCGATTTCTCCCACAGTGTGAAGCTATTCCCTCTCTTTTAATTGAACTGGAATCACTTCTACGTCAGAAAGATAATTTTCAGTTTATAGTGTTGGACACTAACTGTGTCTGGAAAGTTCCTGGACAAGATCCCGATTCCTTATGCCAAAGCCAGCATACAATTGAAATCGTCAAGAAGCAAATTCCTACGTTTCACACAAGAGCAATGCGACAATCACTGATGCAGAAATATGGAAGAGTTGCTCCAAATATAAAGCCAGCTGTTCTGCGTAGCCTCTACCGGGACTTAACAGATGACAGTTCTGCTGCTACCAATGAACACATGGCAGAAATTGATGAAAGAGTCAGACTTATTCTGGATATGGAAGATCCCAATGTTGTTCTTGACTTGAGAACTTTAAATACGGGAAACAAAAGTCAATATGACGTCTTCTGGGATGAATGCAAAAAGTTTTTGGAAGAAGAAGTGGGAACACCTGTTGATGATAGACGGCATGACCAAGTGGTGCACCTTGCTCGAGCAATATCAGCATGAAATCTCATTGAGCAAGTGAAAACCAGATGCCCAGAAGGTACCAAAATACCTTCTGAACCTTGGCTTCGGCTTCAATTTTGGCCAAAGTCAAAGCATGCTCACTCAAAGATCCATTACACGGGAAAGTTGAAAGTCAAATTTATGGTTCAGGCACGACAATTCCGAAAAAGTCACCCCGACGCTCACTATGCTGCTGCCATTTTCAGATACTAGCTTGAGTTGGCTGTGAAGTTCAGGTCATTCAGCAACTTCTCGTGCGTGGACGATAAACATCGCGGAAAAGTTGGAGAACCAGGATTTCCTGTTGCTGCGGCAGAGAGAGGACGCCAAGTTCTTGTGAGCCTTAATAGTTTGTTCCAAGTTGGTGATCACAATTTTACTCAACATAGCATTGTTCCTTCAGTCTGCTTCCTGGTAGATATTCTTGAAACTGTTGAGTCATCATGGTACACCGGTCAAGTCGCAGTAGGCTTAAAGGCTTTTGAGCCATCCAGTCCTGCACGACACTGCACAGAGCTTGGTAATATCCTGTCATTAAGAAACCTGCAAACCAAACCCATCTTGTTTCTCTACAGTGACGGTGGGCCAGATCACAGGCTCACATATCATTAATGTCATTATTCTTGAAATATGACTTGGATTTCTTGTGCGTCGCTCGTACAGCACCATTTCACTCATGGAGAAATCCCGTAGAGCGCATCATGTCATTGCTTAACATTGGGCTGCAGTCGATTGGTCTGATGAGGAAGCAAATGGATGACGAGTTCGAAGCAGCGGTGGCCAAATGCAAAAATATGAAACAGCTTCGAGCAGCAGCAGAGAAGAATCCTACCATCAAAGATGGCACCCTTGATAGTATTGCTCCTGTGAAATTACTCATGTCATGTGTCTTCCACAGACTGTCGTTGAAAGAAAAAAGATCGAATCCTTCGCAGCAGCCACCACAGCCGAAATTGAAGAGTTTTTGTCAAGCATAAAGTCAGTAGACAAGTCGGTTACGGCAAATGTCAAGTGGGTCAAAGCAGTACTACCTGAGTACCTGAAGATCAAAGCGTTCATTGAGCATTGCTGCCAGTTGAGGCACTACTCTTTCTGCATCAAAAAGTGTGGAGAAACTGACTGCAGAATATGTAAGCCACCTTGCCTTCCTTCTGATGTCTTTGAAGAAATCAAGTCCTTCCCGATCCAGTCCCAAACGATGACGGTCACTACAAGCCATTTGAGGTAGTTTATAGCAAAACGACAAGTGAAAAACATCGCCCTACACTTCAGAAACATCCTGCAAGACTCAAAACGTTGCTATTCGTTGCTAGTGTCCAGCATGCATGAAACACCAACATGATGATTCAATGCGAAGAATGTGAGATGTGGCGCTTGGTCTACTCAAAGTGCAAGTTAACAGCTGTTGAACGTTTACAGCTGGACAATGCCCTTTCCGACTATACCTACACATGTGGTGCGACCTTATCAGATCTTGACCTCAACGGCTGCTTAGCTGATGTATGCATCAGAGATATACAATGCTATGATCCTTTAGAGAAACTTTATTTTTCCATGAACAAGGATCCCATTTGTATTTATTGATGTGGATCTGCGAATCTCATGACGAAAGAAGGTTGTTATCCTCAGTGTAATAACTGCGACTCCAAACCATCTGTACAGAAGCGCATGTAAACTTTCTATACTTACATATGTACAGTGTCGCATGTTTCCTAGAAATGTTCATATTGTGTTCCAGTTTTCCACACATTTTGTTAAATAGATGATGTATTTATTAATAAGAAGATTTGTTACAGAGAAATATTAAGAGAGGTACAACTTTTCCACACATTTTGTTAAATAGATGATGTATTTATTAATAAGAGAGATTTATTATTATTTTATTATTATATTGTTTTTTTACAAAGAAATATTAAGAAACACTTATTACAGAGGAGTATTAAATAAAGACATTATATTTCATTGTTTGATATTTTGTTGATATTCAGTTTTCTGATATTTTATTTTTTTTTGGGGGGGGGGGGAGAAGTGCAGGTTTATCGGTCTCGATTTATACCTTGAAAAAAGTTGCAGTTGTATAAAACATACACTGCGATTCCTGTATTTTCTGGTACGCACTATATATTATATAAATGCCTAATGTGCACTTTTCGAAAAGTAAATTTTGCGGAGAGGGGAAAGCCGGCAAATAATGGCAATGGCCCGCCCGCCCGCATCAACTTTAGGTGAAGCCCCGGATGAGAAACTAATATACAACAAATAGTGGCCTTACTAAGGCGGCTTAAAGCAGTTTATTTAAAAATTGCACATGTTTTTACAGCTTGTAGTTATGTAAAATGGTGCTTGCCCTGTTGTAATAAAATGGCGAAATTTATAAATTCGGAAGGACTTTCAAATCAAGAAAAGCGCTTTTGCCAGATTTCCATAGACATATAATAGATATAATATTGGAAAGCGGTGGAGACTGAATAACACAAAATATTTCATGTGGCTACGCATGTATAGCACGATATTTCAAACTATTCCAAACTCAATTAAGAAAATCTGGTAACGGTTCTGCAACAAATACATAGAGGAACAATTGCCGGTTTCTGGGGGACAACGTTCAATATTGTCTCAAGAGGATTTAGAGTTAATAGAAGTTCTTAAGCTTGCGAGAGGGTCATTCAGCTTGTCAGAAATTTGGGGTGTATTGGTAGATGCAATTGGATGTGTTCAAAACGTTTCTTTATCTACTATGAGCCGTGCGATTCGTACAAGATTACCATCTGGTCGTAAATTCACAAGAAGAAAAAAACTCATATTGCTTCTGAACTATTCACAAACAACATTTTATATACACAACTTTTGATAGATTACGTGCATGCCCAAGATCTGAACCACATAAAGTTTTTCAATAAATTAGGCTGGCGAGTCCAATTCAGAGACTTTTAAATGAATTTCATATAATTACAATCGGTAATTGAATTAGTCGGCTACTAAACAGAAATTACAGGTCCACATGATTTTGGGCACTACCTAAGTATGCACGTCAGTTCGGTCTCGTATTGGTAGACAAGTTGAACCAATCCCTGAGCACACTTGTTTTGGTTGGGCAATATAATGGTCCCAGGGTTAGATAGTGATGTCACTGGATTCCTAGCTGTTAATGCTTTGACAGACTATGAGAGTTCATGTGCTATAGACGTTCTTGGTCTAGTGGACTCTCCATTGAGTGATCGAGACGTGCACCAGGAATTTCACGAACAACTTACATGTGATCCTGACGGCGGTTGGTACAAAACAAGTTTCCCTTGGAAAGGTAATCGTCCCCCCAATGATTGAAATGCACTAGGTAAACTCTAACAATACAACAACAACATCAATGAGCGGCTGGAACAGGGCATAGTTGAAATGGCAGCACCTGAACCTATTGGGTGTGAGTATTATATACCCCATTGTGCAGTGATCAGAGAAAGCGTCCAAAGCACCAAATTGCATATCATGTACGATTGTTTAGGGCCAGAGCCAAATTTCTGTTCAAACATTTTTTAAAGAACTTGAAAAATATAACCGATTCAGACTTGTGATATTGCATTTGATTCACAGTAAACATGTGTTAAAATAAATTTTTTTTCAGTTAATATACTTTAATTTATTCCCAGCAATATTCCTTGTTGGGTAATCATATTTTTACTTATAAAAAGGGAGTAAATTTATTTTGCACCCTTCACAGAGGTAAAATGTTTCACCCCCTCCAGCATTTTGCTCCTTGTGTTTCCGTTTGATTGAGAAGTGCATCGTATTCATCGTTCTCTAATGCTTTCTCATGGCAACAAAAACATTCAATTAGTTTTGGTGATAAAGTACAATGTTCACATTTACACCAGCTTAGAGTTTGGAGACACCAAGCATTTGCTCATTCAAACTCATGATCGATTTCCTCGTCAAGGGAAAAAAGGTTTCTTGTTCTGAATCACGCTCTTGTTCTGAATCACGCTCTTGTTCTGAATTGCTTTGATCAGTAACATTGCTTGTTTTTTTCTACTACTTCTGGTTCATACTGGTATGGTAACACTTCCCCTATTGCAATGTTGGTAATATATTGGGTCATCTTTATTTTTTCAAGAAGTCATCAGTCAAATGAGGAAAAGTTAATTTATGTACTAACAGTCATGAAATGGAAATATCCAAGAAGATTGAAGCTGAGCTGAATTTGTAATTTAATATGTAATGCACAAAATGTAATATTCTATTCCAGTTTTCCAGATGTGAGAAAAAACCCTGAGATCTATGTGAAATGGGTGGAAAATGAGAACATGAATGCCCCAGTTAACTTTGTTCCCACAAAAGGAAGCCGTCTTTGTTCAGCACATTTAGCTTGGATATGACACAAAATTTTGTACTAAAACCACTAATTCTGTTTTGTGATTGGTGCGGTTTAATCAAATAATCCTCCTTCACGACATTTCAATTTATTATTTACTGAAGGCTCTGGAATCCAGGGAACTCCAATTAGTCTAAAAGGCTAACTGCAAACCAAAATTATACACTTGCATAACTTGTGTAATTCAAAATAGCCTGCGTGGCAGGCCCTCAGTTTTATGGGGGGGCCTGATTTGCAATGGGCAGGATTTTGGCAGGCACAGTTGAGGATTGATTGAGGGCCTGCAGGAAAGCCTACCTTTCACGACTACACGCCGTTCAGATTCTGAACGGTGAATACGATCACCTGATTGGTCAATACCAAGACAGTGAAAAACCGTAGTATTTGTTGATTTCAATATTGTTGCTTATCAACTTTCTAATCTTGATACTTATCAACTTTCTAATCTTAAGTTAACAGCTTTCTAATCTTGAACTGTTGAACATCGTGGCTATCTTTTCTTGTTCAGCAGCGATATAAAAGATGATCTCACCGGCCAGTTGTCAGGAAATAGCACAGGATACTGCAAACAATTAACGTGCATGGATGTAAATACTGATTCTGATGATGTACTATATAAAAGTAAGCTCAACATCGACGTGTGCATTTGCGACAGCAGTCCAGCCACCAACATTTCTAATTATTTGGACTGTCTTTTCATTTGTAGGGTTTCAAAAAGCATGAAAAAGCTAGGTATCTAAGCCTTGACTTGCAGGCTATTACTGCCTAACTCCAAAGAGTATAGTGATTGAGGTATTGCAGCCAGCATAGCCATGTATATAAGCCTGAAGTTACTTGCTATGTTGTTGAACAAAAATAATTTATTGTTAGTTATCTATCTAGTGGCGCAGTTGGCATTTTGTTATCATTGAAAGGCTAAATTTTGATCTGCAGTTGCACCACAATTACCCATTTTCATACCCTCGACCCTCATCATGCTCTGTTCACTGTGTGTAAGACGGACTGACTAGGTACGAGAATGTGGCATAGCCTACAATTGTTTGATGAGTTAAAACTTACCACATAGGCAATTCTGGACTTGCTTGTTGCGAAAATTGGCGTGTCTTTCTCTATGACAATTTCAGAAGAGAACTGGTTCTTTAGTGCTGGCAACTTTACAGTTTTGCCTTCCAACAAAAGTAGCAAATCACTCCAGGTTATCATTTCACAGCTCCATCGAAAATCTTGCAGAATGACTTCAGCAGAATCAGCACCGACCCATGCATATTTATCATTGGCAGGCTTCGAAAACACATTATAAATAGATGATAAGGGCTTGAACATGAATGTTTTGCCACAATTTGCTGGACCGATAATATTGCGTAAACAAAGGGATGTATCTTATCTTGTTATTTCTTAGAACTTCAATGGCACATTCCAACCAGAGTTTGTCACAACCTGGAGAACAATCATCGCTCAATCTTTCTTGGAGGATCTCCATTCTAGATTCCTTTTCGCACTGAAGATCCTCGTTAGCCGTTTGCATTTTCCATGTTTTATCAATTAGTTCATTCAGAACCTGTGATGACTTTGATAGAATGAAATTGGCCATGTCCATTTGACCCTCATCTTTTCTCTCTTTGCCAATGGCAAAAAGTTCTGTGTCTCTTCATATTATGTTTGGCTAAAAAGTCAGAAACTTCCACATTGGTCAACCTCTTTGGCCTTGATAACTTTTGTTTACAAATATTGATTTTTCGCCGAAAATTTACACCTTAGAAAAATAGGCTGTTTTTAATTTACCTTGTATTCTGTTATTTGTTGTTATTTTGGAGCTGTTGTGTTCGCACTCATTTATCAATTATCAGGCGTTTATATTTATATATCGTGAAA